TCCTGTTACTCTTTATCTGCTTCCTGGTGGCCATTTCTCCACATATCCCTTGTAAACTGGGTTTCGCTGAACTCACTCAGCCTGAGAGCTCTTACCCACTCCCATGGTTTTGCTCATTATTTGTGGTCATGTGACTTCCAAATATCCATGTCCAGCTCCAACCAGAGCTGCAACCCCATTAGGTACGCAGCTGCCTGGGAGACATCCCCTGGGTTGCTCAGACCAGAGACACGGGCTTTATCTTTGAAGCCTCTGTTTCCCTTGCCCCTCCTTCTGTCCCTCAGCCAGCATCTGAGGGCTTTTTCTTAGTCCATTTCTCCCCATCTCCACCACCATTTCCAGGGTCATGCCTTATTACTCAGCTTCCTCAGACATGCCCTATACAATCCGTTCCTGGTTTCCTGAACAATACTTGATTTCATTGCCTCTGGGCCTTTTTGCATGCTTTACAACCCCTTCACCCAGCGTAAATGTCCAGTCTCAGCTATTTCCACCAGATAGTCTTCTCTGACCAGGGTTCAAGCCCCCTCCTGGGGGCTCCCATAGCCCCTGTGCTAAGGCCAGGCATTGTATGTTGCAACTGTCTGCCTATCTGGCCTGCTGGACCTGAGATCCTCAAGGGCAGAGAAAGAGCTCACTCACCTTTCCCCCAGCACTTAGCACTTAGAGTCTTAGGCAATAAATGTTTGTTGAACGAATAAGGGTTGCTTGAGGCAGACTCTCTGCTCTGAGGTCTCTGGGCATCTCTCCTTTCAATTCCCCGTCCATCCTACAGAGGTCACTGAACTTCCTTGTACACTAGGTAGACTTGGGCAAACCTCTTCCCCTCCCTGGGCCCCCAGTGCCTATAAAACGGGGACATTACTCCTGTTAGCCTACCCTACCCTGCCCTAAGTCGGGTCTGAAGCTTCCTGGAAAGGAGGAGTTCCTCCTAAGCTTCTCTACCCCAACTTGTGTGGCAGCCAGGCTGTTCCTGAGACCAGGACTCAGCATTTAGGGAGACTTCTGCACCCTATCATAATGGGAGACTTGCACAACAGAGTCTGGGCACAGCGATCTCCCATTTCCCAGCTTGAACTCTGCTTAGGTTGTGACCCACTCCCGCAGGGAGGCTCGAAAATCCCACAACCCTCATACTTACAAAGATGAGGAAATTGAAGAGGATCATCATGGTTTTAATGAAGCTGAAGCACTGCATGGTGGTTCCTGGGAGGCAGATAAGTGTGAGTTAGGAATTCGTGCTGCCTGCCTCCATTGCCACCTGGGCTAGCCCTGGCATTTGGACCCTGACATACGAGACCCCAGCATCCAGGACCCATAAATCACCCAAACTCCCCCCGCATCTAGCCTCTGACACCTCGGAACTTTTCCTAAGTCCTATCCTGACACCTCTGCCTCTCTATAGGGCCCAGGCCCTCTCCCAGCGCCTGACACTCAGATACTGACACCCCAGGTTTCTCCACTGGCACCCCAAGCCCAACCCCCACACCACAGGTCACTCCACGCCCTTCCTTGGCACCTACATATCCTGGACCCCTCCACTAAACCAACCCTGGACTCTTTCAGGACCCTCCCCATCTGCCTTCCAGCTTCCCAAACCTGTTTCCAGGTTGATTTTACTTCATAGGACCATCTCTGTCCTGTGCCATCACCTGTTCAGGGCTCTTGGTAGTGAGTTCTGAAAGACCTGAAGGATCTGCTGAGGCTCCAGAGGGGACAGACTACTCCAGGGATTTGCCACTCGAGTGGGCAGGCCGTGAGACGGAGCTAGCTCTCAAGCACCACTGCTCCCCTGCAGGTGGGGCAGGAGTTTTAAAGTCCTCTGCTCACCTTCCCGCCTGCCCCACCCCGCAGCCAGTCAGCTTCTTTCCCTGCTGCCCCCTGCTGCCTGGAGATATGTCCCCATAGCCACAGGCCTCCTCAGCCTGGCAACGCCAACCACAGCAACACCCTTCCTGATCTGAAGAAGGAAGAGAAGTTGGAGGGTAAGCAAGGGGCCCCCAGAATCTCCGAGTGCCCTCCACCGCAATGGTGCACGGATGCTTTCTAGCCTACATCTGCTGATCCATTCATCCATACCCCGTGTGCTCACGGGCACACACATCTGCACACACAGATACATACATAAACACCTACCCGTGCTCACGAGTGCACACACGCACACATGCCTCACACACACCGCACTGTGTGTGGACTGACTCCCAGCAAGTAAGAAACCACAAAGCAACATCCGAGGGACATACTTAAAGTCTCTCTGTCTCTGTCTCTCTCTCACACACACTCTCAAGCACACACACACACACACACACTTTCAAGGAAATGACCCAGGTTTAGCAGCTTCTACCCCCTCCTCTGAGTAGCATGTGACTCCTAGTCCTTTTCCCTCTATAAAATTTCAATTTCCCCATCTTTTTCCTCCCTTCGTCTTTCCTCCTTACCCGTCTCCCTCCCCTTCGTTTCTCTTTCTTTCCCCTCAATCCAGTGTTCTTAGCAATCTGTCAAGCACCCCTTTCCTTTCTGCCAGAAGGTGGCACCATGATCCCACAAAAGCATCACCCCCAATTCTAAAACTTCGCAGTCCCAGTCTACAGGAATCCCTCAAGGGCTGCCTGCCTCTTTCCACTGCCTGTCCTACTTTCCACTCCAATGCTCCCCACATCGAGGTGCTGCGGAAGTTCTGGCTTTGGAGTCACTCAGGCCAGGTACTCCCATGCTGGTTCTGATGCTTCCTAGCTGTGTGACCCTGGCGGGGGGGGGGGGGGGGTGCGGGAGGAGGGGATTTCTTAAGCTCAGTTTTAAGCCTGTTTCCTGGTCTATATAACAGAATAGTTATAGGGATTTTAAGTAAGATTTTCTCCCCACTCTGGGAAAACCGGGAATGACCACAGAGTGGGAAAGTCAGAGTAGGGAGAGTCATAGCCAGAGGGGGTGTGGGATGGACAAAGTGGACTTTTAACATTTTTTTAAAAATTTGAATATATTTGACACTAATTTTTGTTTCTTATAATGGGAGGAAGCAGGTGAAGAAACAGGAGGGGGGTCAATAATGCTAATATCTGTGTAGATCGTGTTTTAAATGCATTACATATATGGTCTTTTCCCCTTCTTCACAACAATCCTATGAGATAGATTCTCTTCCCCCCCCTTTTTAAATATAGGGAAACAGAGGCACGGGAAGGTTAAGTACTTGCCATGATCACACAGCTTGTAAGTGGTGAATCCAGGATTCACCCCTAGTCAGTCTGGTGCCAGAGTCTGTATCTTAACCACCAAGCAGACTGTCTTTAGTGATGGAATTTCTAAGAAGGCAGGAGGAGCTGACTTCCAGAAAGAACAGGAGAGGAGGTCTTGGTCTGGGGCTGGAGGAAGAAAATGGCCAAGGGCAAGTGGGTTTACAGGAATAGTGGCTAGAAGTTGATGGGAGCAAGGTCCATTTTCTAAGACTGAGGATGGCAAGAGTAGAAGATGGAGGGGAAGGAGGTGTGAGGCCTTTAAGGGTGGTGTTGAGGACCCCAAGCCCTCCTTGCAGGTTCCTACAGGACCAGAGAAAAGATGGAGGCTGGGAAGGAGGACTGGAGGTGGAGTAAGAGAGAAAGAGAGAGGGGGCTGAAGTCCACTGTTCCACAACAACTCAGTGCAAGGCTTGGCAGAGCCACTGACATTCCTGTCTGCTACAAGAAAACGTTGACACAACTTACATTCCCCTAGGGACCTAGCTGTTCCTCCACCTGCACTAATGAATGGCTTTCTCTTTCCCTTCAGGAAGACTTGGAGCCAGGTCACCTCCATCTATGACCTCAGTGCCCAGCACACATGAAGTTGTTAGTGAACAATTCCTGAATGATTGAATGAATAAATGAGCATAGAACATCAAGAGTTAAATGTCTGGGCTTTGGACCGTAGCCATCAGGGATGGGGGGAACCCCTGCCTGCCTCTAATCGTGTGACCTCACCTAACTGAGCCCCAGTTTCCTTATACAGTCAATCCTCATTATTCATGGTTTCCGTATCTGTAAATAGATAGATTTACTCGCTAGAATTTATTTGTATCCCCACACCAATACTCATGTCACTTTGCGGTCATTCGTGGACATTTGCAGAGCTGCAAAAATGTTGAGCTGCCCCATCCACGTGTCCTCAGCTGAGGCTGAACAAAAGGATTCTCTGCCTCCTTGTTTCACCTCTTATAATGTACACCTGTTCTTCTTGTGGTTTATTCAATGTCACATTTTTCCCATTTTTGTGCTTTTGGTTAGTGATTTTGCTGTTTATCAAATACTGCTGAAGTGCTGTCTAGTGTCTCTGAGCACAAGAAGGCTGTGATGTGACCTACGAGGAAGTATGTTAGATAAATGTCATCCAGGTACAAGTTAGAGTGCTGTTGGCTGTGAGTTTAATGTTAATGACTCAACAACAATATAGTTTAAATTAGGTATCTATAAACAGAAACACACATAAAACGAGGTCATGTTCTGATTGATCAGTTGACAAAAATGTTATGACCCGAGGCTGGTAGGAATCTAACCCGATAGGTACATTGGCTTGATTTGCTAATGCGCTATTTGTGGTGGGGACTTTATTAGACCATAACTACTGTGAATAATGAGAATCGACTGTATATGAAATAGGAATAACGATAGTCTCCTTGTAAGGTGGTTGTGGGATTAATGAGAGAGTGTTTGTAGAGTACTGGGCGCTCTTTGGCACACAGTAAATACTTAAGAAACATTGTTAATATTGTCCATGTGGATAAATGAGAAAGGGAGGGAGTAACTTTCCCCTACTCAGAGTTCCTTTTCCCTAGGGGCCAAGCTGAGGTTTTTCTGGCCCTTGGGCTGGACCCATTGAGAGAACCCTGAGGGAGCCTGACCCACGGGGAGGGGCAGGGGACCAGGACCTATAATAAAGAGCACTACCCTTATGCGGACTCTATGTCATAGAGGCCCCAGCTGCCCTGGCCAGGAGCACCCTCGGGCACACTACAGAAGCTCCCTGTGCCCATGGGGCCTTCTCAGCCTGTCCGTGCCCCTCGGCCCCGGGGCCTAAGTTCCCCCTACCGCAGGCCAGGGCTGGGCTGGCGTCGGCCTCGAAATCCCAGGATGTTCAAGTGTAGCCGCAGAAGGTACCGGCAGAAACCCCAAGGCCCAGCTGCCACCACTGCAGCCACCAATCCTGCCACCGTGGCCACAGATATCAACAACACTTCTACCGCCACCACGAGTGTGTGGATCCTTCTGCCACAAAGTTAGCCAAGGGCCCTGAGGCGGGTGGGGGTTGGAAAAACCAGGGCCATTTGTTTCCCCCACCTTAGCCCTGCCTAGGCACTCTAGGGGGCACACCCTGTGTGAAATATCACCCCCAAAATATGGTGGGGTCTTGATGGCAGACTCCTAAAGGCTGAGAGCCTTAATGGAGGGTGTATTGGCTGAGTGGAGGGCCTGGGGAACTGTGAATCTAAGAACAGTGGAGCTTCCAGAACTGCTGTCTTCCTCACACTCTTCCCTCTCCTTCCTCTCCTCAGTTCTCAGACACCTTTGTCAACCTGGCAGCTTTCTGATCTTCTAGAAATGTCCAGAAACTAGTCCAGAAGCTTGGCTGGCTCCGGACCTGCATCTTCTAGGGGCCATGAGTGGTTGACAGCAGGCAAATACAATCATTTCTGCTCCAACGGCCTTACTCCACTCCAAGGTGTTTCCAGACAACTATGCGGGGTACGACGGCAGGGCTGGGGCTGAACGCTCCCAAGGACAGGCTTCAGTGAGGACAGATGGGATCACAGTTAGACAATGGAAGGACAGGACAAGGTCAGCAACACACACCATTTCTCCATCTTTGGCCTCAGCTACTGATTTGCCCCATGAGGTAGGGGGCCTTCCTGCATTGCACAGGGAAAAGGGTCTCCATAGACATCTCGGAAGTTACAGAGAGCCAGATGCTTGAGGAGGGAGGTAGAGGCATGGATCAGACAGGGATGGCACGAGAGATTTCAGGGCTGGAGTCTAACTCCGAGAGTGCTTCAGTGTGAGCTCTGTGTGGCTCTGTGCCTGCGACGGTGAGTGTGCAGATGTAGATGTTGGGGTGCGTGTGTGTGTGTGTGTGCGCGTGTGTGTGTGAGAGAGAGAGAGAGAGGCCAGGACATGGGCCTGTGAGCAGACATGTGGCTCAGTGTGCCTCCGCAATGGGTTGTGCCTCTGCGGCTGGCAGAGCATCAGGTGTGTTTGTAAGGGTCTGGGTGTGCCAGAGGGAGGCTTGGCTGAGAGGAATGAAGGTCAGGAATGGGGTGCGGGCAGCCTGAGGCAGCAGAGGGTTGCTTCCGAGGAGGGCGGGCCACCTTCGGCCCCCTAGCTCTTCCCTGAGGCCAGTGTGTTCCGAGGCTGTCAGCTGAGCCTCTGCGGTTAGGGGTGGGGCAAGACTGAGTCGAGTCCACAAAGGGGGAGGGTGCTGAGCACTCCGGCCTGGGGATTTTCCATTTGGATTTCTGAGTGTGTGCCCATGTGTCATCAGGTGTAACTGGGTGGCTGTGGGGTGTGTCTCCACGGAGCTGTGTCTCAGTGGCAGGAAACACTGTGAGGGACTCTTCTCTAAGGCGTCGCTGTATGCATGGGTGTGTGTCCGGGGCTCCCTTCCCTAAGGGTTGGGGGTGGGAGTGAAGCCTGAGAGCCTGGGCCTGGCCCCCCCTCCCCCCCCCCCGGGGTTCAGGAAGCCTGTGAGGAGAAAAGGAATTGTGTCTGTGTCCTTCAACGCCAAGGCTTGCCGGGACCCTGAGAGGAGGGACGGGACAGAGAAGTCACTGACACTTTGCGCGCAGACTGCGCAGGCTGGGGCATGAGGCTCGGCGGGGTATGGGGGAAGTGGTGCTGAACCTCAGTCAAAGCAGGAAGGTGGCTGGGCTAGCGCCCAAGGCCCACAGAGGGGCCCACACGTTTAAAGACACATGTTACAGTCCATGAACATATGCAGACGTGTAAGTAGAAGTGGACTCACAGACACACAATGCAACAAACACAGGTGCATGCAAGTACAGGCTTATAAACAGAGCTACTCGCTGCCCCTGCTGCCCCTGGCCCTCCCCGGCTGGCATATGTAACTACAATGCACGTGCCTGTAAAAGAACGCACGCAGACGTCAACATGCTTGCGTCTCGACAAGCACATAAGCACAGACAGCCACACGTGCAATCACACTCATGCAAACCCAGGCACACACAGACACACGCACACATGCAGACACACTCACCAGACTTCCCTGCCCGGCCCTGGAACCCAGAAGCTTCCCTCCCCTATAAGAGTGAGTGTGTGTGTGTGTGTGTGTGCGCACGCCCCCACTTGTGTCTGTGTGTATCTGTGTCTGTGAGAGTGTGTGTGTATGTGTGTGACTGGGGGGGGGTGCTGAGCTGTGGGAACCTGATGACATCATCTCTTCTGGCTATTTTTAGTTTCCTCTGCAATGACGGGCTCCTCCACGGCCCCTCCCCTGCCAGGCTCCCGGAGGCAGCTGCAGCCAGAGGGCACCCACCACTCCAGTCTAGGTGACCCCTGGATGACTGGGTACAGCTCACTCGTTCCCACCCCACCAGAGCTCCCTGGAGGTTGAGAACACCAGAGGAGGAGGCTTGGGCCATGTGGCAGCCTGGAACAGGGGCCTGGGTTCGGTGAGCAGACCTGGCTGGTCTCCAGCCCCTAGGGTGCCTCCGCTTCTGCTTTTCAATCTGAAACTCCGTCTCCGTCAGTAGTGCGTGCCATGTGCCAGGGAGGGTGCCAAGTTCTGGAGCTAGAGCAGTGTGCAAGACAGCAGGAGTTCTTCCTGGTGGGTGTTACAGCTCGGTGGGAGACAGACATTAAACAGATCACACAGGCACTGCACCAAACTGTGTCAAGGACTCTGAACGTTGGTAACAAGGGGCCTCGGTCTGGGATGATGCTCTCTCTTTCTATCTCATGGAGATAACCCGAGGAAACCAGAGGGGTACCCTCCCTGACCTTGCACCTTCCACCCCAACAACCACACTCCAGAATTCTACAGAGCAGAGCTTCCTCCTCACACCCCAGGCTGTGCTCCCAACATCGCCCCAACCCACCCTCCAAGTGGTGGCCCCCCACGATTCATGGCCCCCTTTCTTTGGAACCTCCCCCCCTCCCCGTTGATCCCTGGGAGCCAGTCCTTAGTCCTCCATCTGTGGATGCGAAAAGTGAAACTCGGAGAGGAGTAGAGGAGTAGGGCAGGATCACACCTCCTGGTGCCCAGGCAGCAACTCAAGGAGATGGCAGGCCCAGGGAGGAGGAAGTGGTGGCGGCACAGGTGTGGGAAGAGCGGGGGTGGGGGTGTGTCAGGAGGGGAGGAGGACTGTGGCCCGAGGGGTCCTTGCCCAGAGCAGGCTTCCTGCTCCAGCCAGCCTCTGGGCAGCCACCAGAAAATCGGGTTTGGCAGCTTGGGCCAAGTGCCCAGGGGCTGGAGGAGGGGTCCGGGCAGCTCTGGGGAGGCTGCCCGGGGGCGGGCTCATCCTCTGACCCAGAGTCTGGCCAGGCCCCAGACCAAGCTGTCCTGTTGGGGGAGCATTTTGTAATACGAGGACCCTTTGGAGTGTGGGGGGAACAGCTCTGCGCTGGAAGCAAGAGGCCGGAATTCCAGTCCTTCTTCTGCCCCAAACCTCAGTGTGATCCTTGGAAAGTGCTGCCCCCTTTCTTGGCCTGAGTGGGCCCTCCCAGGAAGTCGAGCCGGAGGACTACTTTCCGCATCCCCAATTCCTGCCCTCTGGGTTTTCCTGGGAGTCTGACTCGGGCAGAGAAACACAAACTTTGTGTTTGGGACAATGGGTTGGGACGGGAACAGACTGTCCCCAGGGCGCCAGGCTGGAGGTCCCTTGTCACCAATGGGTCAATCGCCGGAAGCCTAGCTCCAGCCCTACAATGCTATATGGGTCACCCCACCCTTACCAGTACCCTCACCCACACCCCGACTTCCGTCCTCTGTTCCTTCCTCACCTTCAGAGAAAGCTACTGGGCTCTCTGGGGAATCTCCCATACCTACTCTATTGGCTCCCTGCCCTGTGCTCAACCCTCCCTCCCCCTCTGCCCACTTGACAGGGCCAGTCTCCCAGTTAACTTTCTGTCCCTGGATCCTCGGGCAGGCCCGGGAGGAAAGGAAGCTGGGTGGAAGGCCTGCACAGGAGCCTGCTTTTCCTGCTACCATCAGATACTTCAAGCCCAAATGAGGGGGTTGGGAGGAGGGGCGTGGACTGAGTGCTGGGGCCTAGGCCAGCGCTGCCTTTGCATATTCCAGCCCCAGGGGAAGTGGGAATGTTACCCTTTACCTATCCAACAATCTTCCTGTGCCTTCAGCGAATTCAGAGAAGAGAGCCCAGAGCTGAGACTTGCTTCCTCTGGAAAACAAACACAAAAACCTAGGACAAGTGAGTCCTGGTTATAGTCACTAAGTCAGTAATAAATTCATGAAAACACAAAACCCATAAAATTCTAAATGCATAGAATCCATAGTCATGGAATCTTAGCATCACAGAATTCTAGCATGGTGAAATCTGAGTTACAGAGTCAGAAATACAGAATTCTGGCAACACTGATTCCCAGATCACAAGGTTAGAGTATCCTCAAATAGAGAAGTCTTGAGAAATCAATTAGTGAAGTCTTCACCTTCAGGTGGATGTCTAAACTAGAGGATGGGCATTGGGGATGGGCAAAGGAGTTCATGCATGAACACTAAGGAGGAGGCAGAGAGCTCAGGACACATGAGCTTAGGATAAGTTAAGAAGCCTGCAACAAACCAGACAGAGGACAGACATCTTCCATGAGGACACATTCTTGGTTTCTAAGGATGAGGGGAGTGGGGTGGCAGGAAGGGAGCACAGAGAGGGGAACTATAGACAAAGAAAACATAGCCTAAAGAAAAGATTATCAAGTAGCCTAATACACCAGCCACAATGCCTCCGATTTCTCCATGATTGGGTTTAACACCAGCCCAGGACATTTTCGAAGGTTAGTAAGACTCCTTATCACATTGGAACGGCAAGCCACACCTGGCTTTTTTGGGAAGGAAAGTACCAAGTAGAAAATATTCTGTATACCACAATTTCTTGGGGCTGCTGGGAAGAGCAGACTCTCCAAAGAGGATACTGAGCTGTGACCAACAAAGCCACGCTGTGGGCTGGGGTGCAGAGCCCCTAGCAAGGCCTTGGTAAGGGACCTTGTGGAGAGCATCTGCCTGGGGTGGTGCCTGGGAGGGGCATCTCTACAAAAGGAGCCAAACTTGAGGCAGCACTTGGTATGGGGATTCATGCCTGATTATGGGGTTGGTTACTCAGTAAACAACAGGGATATTTACCTAGCATTTCTGGGAAACTACTGCAAACTCAGGAACCCAGAAGAAGCAGTTCCAGAGAGAGGCAAATGCCAAGCTCTTCTGGGCATGGGGAATGGGGCAATGTCAGCTGGAGATCCTCTTGCTCGGCCGCCTGTCCTTGGATTCAGCTCAAACCTCAGCCCTGACCCCTACCCACATCCTCATTTGCCTCCCTCTCCCTGCTTGC